TGTGCCCTTGTATGGTGTCGCTGTGTTATATTGTGTCCTTGTATATTGTCGCTGTGTTATATTGTGTCCTTGTATATTGTCGCTGTGTTATATAATGTCCTTGTATGTTAACGCTGTGTTATATTGTGTCCTTGTGTGTTGACGCTCTGGTATATTGTGTCATTGTGTGCTGACGCTGTGTTATGTTGTGTCCTTGTGTGTTGACGCTGTGTTGTATTGTGTCATTTTATGTTGTCGCTGTGTTATATTGTGTCCTTGTGTGTTGACGCTGTGGTATATTGTGTCCTTGTATGTTGTCGCTGTGTTATATTGTGTCATTTTGTGTTGTCGCTGTGTTATATTGTGTCATTGTATGTTGACGCTGTGTTATATTGTGTCCGAGTGTTGACGCTGTGTTATATTGTGTACTTGTGTGCTGTCGCTGTGTTATATAGTGTCATTGTGTGTTGACGCTGTGTTATATTGTGTCCTTGTATGGTGTCGCTGTGTTATATTGTGTCCTTTTGTGTTTTCGCTGTGTTATATTGTGTCCTAGTGTTTTGACGCGATGATATATTGTGTCCTTGTGTATTGACGCTGTGGTATATTGTGTCATTATAAATTGTCGCGGTGTTATATTGTGTCATTGTATGTTGTCGCTGTGTTATATTTTTTCCTTGTTTGTTGTCGCTGTATTATATTGTGTCTTTGTATGTTACCGCTGTGATTTATTATGTCTTTGTATGTTGAGGCTGTGGTATATTGTGTCCTTGGAGTTGACGTTGTGGTCTATTGTGTCCTTGTATGTCGTCGCTGGATTATATAGTGTCATTGTGTGTTGTCGCTGTGTTATATTGTGTCATTGTATGTCGTCGCTGGGTTATATAGTGTCATTGTGTGTTGACGCTGTGTTATGTTGTGCCCTTGTATGTTGTCGCTGTGTTATGTTGTGCCCTTGTATGTTGTCGCTGTTTTATAATGTGTCCTTGTGTGTTGTCGCTGTGTTATATAGTGTCATTGTATGTTGTCGCTGTGGTATATTTTGTCCTTGTATTTTGTCGCTGTGGTATATTTTGTCCTTGTATTTTGTCGCTGTGGTATATTTTGTCCTCGTCTGTTGACGCTGTTTTATATTGTGTCCTTGTGTGTTGACGCTGTGTTATATTGTGTCTCTGTGTGTTGACGCTGTGTTATATTGTGTTCTTTTGTGTTGACGCTGTGTTATATTGTGTCATTGTATGTTGTCGCTGTGTTGTGTTGTGTCCTTGTATGTTGTCGCTTTGCTATATTGTGTCCTTGTATGTCGTCGCTGTGTTATATTATGTCATTGTGTGTTGTCGCTGTGGTATATTGTGTCCTTGTGTGTTGTCGCTGTGGTATATTGTGTCCTTGTATGCTGACGCTGTGTTATATTGTGTCCTTGTATTTTGTCGCTGTGGTATATTTTGTCCTCGTGTGTTGACGCTGTTTTATATTGTGTACTTGTGTGTTGACGCTGTGCTATATTGTGTACTCGTGTGTTGACGCTGTGCTATATTGTGTCCTTGTGTGTTGTCGCTGTGGTATATTGTGTCCTTGTTTTTTAACCCTGTGGTATATTTTATTTCTGTGTGTCTTTGTGTTGACGCTGTGGTATATTTTGTCCTTGTATGTTGTCGCTGTGTGATATTGTGTCATTGTTTGTTGATGCTCTGCTATATTGTGTCCTTGTGTGTTGACGCTGTGTTATATTGTGTCTCTGTGTGTTGACGCTGTGTTATATTGTGTCCTTTTGTGTTGACGCTGAGTTATAGTTTTTTCCTTGTGTGTTGACGCTGTGATATATTTTGTACTTTTATGTTGGCGCTGTGGTATATTATGTCCGTGTGTTTTGGCGCTATTGTAGTAGTATATTGTGTCCCTGTGTGTTGACGCTGTGGTATAATATGTCCTTGTGTGTTGACGCTGTGGTATAATATGTCCTTTTGTGTTGACGCTGTGGTATATTGTGTCCTTGTGGGTTTGTATAATTTGTCCTCGTGTGTTGATAATTAGTTTTTGCCTTAGTTGTGTTGACAATTCAATATATATTTAACCTTGTTGGATGATGATGTGGCATGTTTCGTCCTTCTGTATTGCCGCAACGGTGTAACTAAAACATAAACATTGATAAGAAATAGGGAGTTTACACCTTTTTTGCATAATTATTTAAATTTGTGTAGCGATATTGGTATACAATGTCTTATATTGCTATATGCATACCATTTTTGAAACAAATAAAAATATACTATAGTAAAACAAAAACAATTGCCATTTTCACGAGAGGTCGTCTTGTTATTTCCTATCTGAATAAACTATTCTTCTAACAAAGCACAGAGTCATTCTCATCATCATATAGGTATTCTTTGTTAATATAGTTCAGTTTTACAAAATTAGTTAATGTGTCTGCACGCACAAACATCATTTGATATAGATTTAAGTGACTAGCCTAAACTTGAGGGTATTGGTATTCTTCCGAAGTGATTCCCTAGTAGATTAAATGTTATTGAAGTGTTGAAATCAAGGTTAGTACACAAACGTTTATTTCATTCCGCCGAGCAGCCTATGCGACAAAATGTCACCACTAGCGTGTCGAATTCCTCCTACACATTACTGAGTCGGTGGATAAACATGTATTACGTCAGAGATGTTTCGTGATTAGCTAATGGTGCTTAGTCGGTGGATAAAAATGTATTACGTCAAAATTGTTTGGTGATTAACTAATGGTGCTTAGTTTTAATTAACACATATGCCATGCGTTCTTGATTATCTGTTTGCTTCTCTTCTAGAATGTTGAAAAGTGGTTTGTGTCGCTGAGTATCTAAGAGAGGCTACCAAGGTACATTCTTGTAGGTTCTGTATGTTAACAGGTCCCAACTTTCAAACCCAAATACCTTACATAACTGGGTTGCAACATGGCAGATTTATCATTATATGAAACTGCCGATATAACCCTATTAAGTACGGATTACATCCATATGAATGTCATCGCTCAATAGTTGACGTCATCATAGTAAAGTTGGATACTAGTCAACCTCCATTTAAGATGGTAAAAATAAGCATTGAGCAGCTTTCATTTGGCAGGCACGCTTCATGGACGTTTGTAACGATCTTGTTAGCACTCAGATTGACTCTGATATCAACCAAAATCAGAAAACTTATTAATTCTTCATTTGGAGTACCTGGAAACAAAATGGCCACCCTGCGGCCAGAACCTGCGACTGCCAACGTAGGTCTCAAATCGAATCCCAGTAGTGGAGGGCTAGCTATAGACAGTCAGACGCCTTAACCACTCAGCCACCATGACACAGTAGTGGAGGGCTAGTGATCATAGACGGTCAGACACCTTAACCACTCACCCACCCTGTCACAGTAGTGGAGGGCTAGTAATCATAGACAGTCAGACACCTTAACCACTCAGCCACCTAGACACAGTAGTGGAGGGCTAGTGATCACAGACAGTCAGACGCCTTAACCACTCAGCCACCACGACACAGTAGTGAAGGGCTAGTGATCATAGACAGTCAGACGCCTTAACCAGTCAGCCACCCTGACACAGTAGTGGAGACTAAATATCATAGACAGTCACACACCTTAACCACTCAGCCACCCTGACACAGTAGTGGAAGGCTAGTGATCATAGACAGTCAGACGCCTTCACCACTCAGCCACCCTTACACAGTAGTGGAGGGCTAGTGATCATAGACAGTCAGACACCTTAACCACTCAGCCACCATGACACAGTAGTGGAGGGCTAGTGATCATAGACAGTCAGACACCTTAACCACTCAGCCACCCTGACACAGTAGTGGAGGGCTAGTGATCATAGACAGTCAGACACCTTAACCACTCAGCCACCCTGACACAGTAGTGGAGGGCTAGTGATCATAGACAGTCAGACACCTTAACCACTCAGCCACCCTGACACAGTAGTGGAGGGCTAGTGATCATAGACAGTCAGACACCTTAACCACTCAGCCACCATGACACAGTAGTGGAGGGCTAGTGATCATAGACAGTCAGACACCTTAACCACTCAGCCACCATGACCTCGTAGTGGAGGGCTAGTGATCATAGACAGTCAGACACCTTAACCAGTCAGCCACAACGACCCAGTGGTGGAGGGCTAGTGATCATAGACAGTCAGACACCTTAACCACTCAGCCACCATGACCCAGTAGTGGAGGGCTAGTGATCATAGACAGTCAGACACCTTAACCAGTCAGCCACAACGACCCAGTGGTGGAGGGCTAGTGATCATAGACAGTCAGACACCTTAACCACTCAGCCACCATGACCTCGTAGTGGAGGGCTAGTGATCATAGACAGTCAGACACCTTAACCAGTCAGCCACAACGACCCAGTGGTGGAGGGCTAGTGATCATAGACAGTCAGACACCTTAACCACTCAGCCACCATGACCTCGTAGTGGAGGGCTAGTGATCATAGACAGTCAGACACCTTAACCAGTCAGCCACAACGACCCAGTGGTGGAGGGCTAGTGATCATAGACAGTCAGACACCTTAACCACTCAGCCACCATGACCTCGTAGTGGAGGGCTAGTGATCATAGACAGTCAGACACCTTAACCAGTCAGCCACAACGACCCAGTGGTGGAGGGCTAGTGATCATAGACAGTCAGACACCTTAACCACTCAGCCACCATGACCTCGTAGTGGAGGGCTAGTGATCATAGACAGTCAGACACCTTAACCAGTCAGCCACAACGACCCAGTGGTGGAGGGCTAGTGATCATAGACAGTCAGACACCTTAACCACTCAGCCACCATGACCTCGTAGTGGAGGGCTAGTGATCATAGACAGTCAGACACCTTAACCAGTCAGCCACAACGACCCAGTGGTGGAGGGCTAGTGATCATAGACAGTCAGACACCTTAACCACTCAGCCACCATGACCTCGTAGTGGAGGGCTAGTGATCATAGACAGTCAGACACCTTAACCAGTCAGCCACAACGACCCAGTGGTGGAGGGCTAGTGATCATAGACAGTCAGACACCTTAACCACTCAGCCACCATGACCTCGTAGTGGAGGGCTAGTGATCATAGACAGTCAGACACCTTAACCAGTCAGCCACAACGACCCAGTGGTGGAGGGCTAGTGATCATAGACAGTCAGACACCTTAACCACTCAGCCACCATGACCTCGTAGTGGAGGGCTAGTGATCATAGACAGTCAGACACCTTAACCAGTCAGCCACAACGACCCAGTGGTGGAGGGCTAGTGATCATAGACAGTCAGACACCTTAACCACTCAGCCACCATGACCTCGTAGTGGAGGGCTAGTGATCATAGACAGTCAGACACCTTAACCAGTCAGCCACAACGACCCAGTGGTGGAGGGCTAGTGATCATAGACAGTCAGACACCTTAACCACTCAGCCACCATGACCTCGTAGTGGAGGGCTAGTGATCATAGACAGTCAGACACCTTAACCAGTCAGCCACAACGACCCAGTGGTGGAGGGCTAGTGATCATAGACAGTCAGACACCTTAACCACTCAGCCACCATGACCTCGTAGTGGAGGGCTAGTGATCATAGACAGTCAGACACCTTAACCAGTCAGCCACAACGACACAGTAGTGGAGGGCTAGTGATCGTAGACAGTCAGACACCCTAACCACTCGGCCACCACGAACCACGAGTGGAGGGCTAGTGAGCATAGACAGTCAGACACATTAACCACTCGACCACCGCGACCCATTTGTGGAGGAATAATGATAGTAGACGGTCAGATGCCTTAACCACTCGGCTACATTGGCCCCTCTAACATGACTGTTTTAAGAAGAAATCGAAACATACCTGTCCGAAACGCTGCAGGATGCAAGTCTGGTGCTTGAAATGATCTAAAAACGATACAATTGTTTGACATAAAAAGGCACATTTATTTGCTATATAATATTACAAATATTTGATTTGAAATGGTACAACTGTTTGATATATAATGATACTGCTGTTTGATATAAAATATTACAACTATTTGAAATAAAAAGGGTACAGCTTTTGTAATTGCCCTATGTTTTGTCGAACACTGTATTTATGCTGATGATACAGACGTCAGAAAATTGTACACACATCACAGACGTAGTAAAACTGAAATCCCGCAAATATTGCGAGCATGTGTAATCAGCCTTTCAGAACATGAACATGTATCTATTTTTGTAGAGCAACAGGATGTTTGTGAATACCACATCTTGTTACTGTGTTACGCCCAGGGTGAGACTGCTGTGTAGGAATCCTGTCCATGCCAGTGCCACTTTATAGAAACCATAAACATATTTCAAAGTGCAATGTATATTACAAATATGCAGTATCCATCTTCCTGTCGCTGAACAGGAACAAAATAGTATAATATAACATCTACATTCTTGTCTAAAAACGGAAACAAATAACCTAACGATAATATATTACTGTTTTGTAAGCTCTGAACAAATACCAAATAATCACACAATACTATATCTCAAAGCACAACAGAACACTGAATTAACATAGAGATATAACGTTGTGTTGGAGTCTGTTTGATCTGTAACACGTCTTGTCATCTGAACCCTCAAGATCAAAGTTATTTTGATTCAAAAGAATAAGAGCATGGCCCGAGTTATAAAAATGAAAAAAAAAATGAACATTTTCCAACTCCTGTTTTTGTTTATATGTTTGTTGGCTTGATTCTTCACCTTTTTGGTTAAAATTGTTTTATAATCGTTACTGTTTGCGGTGTACAAATATCAGCGTCCGTCAGTATTATATCAATAAAGTAATACAGTTACATTGCACTGGAAATTGAAAAAAAAATCAGGCAATACAAATCCTTATTCATGGAGCTATTGTTTTGGTGGTTGTTGCCTGCTGTCTTTCGGAACTTCGTGTTTAGCTTAATAGGAAGTGATGTAATTTCTCATTTTTACAATTGGCAACCTTTAATAATTACATAGAAAGTATCATTTTAGTGAAGACAACGTATATTTTACCTATCTCACTCTGACATATGTTGCAATGTGACGGCCATCAATCATTCCATGACGAGCCTTACACAGCCACCGTTTCTAACAAAGGAGACTTGTTGGCAGACGTCATGTTGCTGACTCAAACCAATCTAATGTAATATAGGAAGGTGAAAAATAAAGTTTGATACAAAATATTGATGATCCCCTGAACTTAAACATACAAAAAAGTCTGTGTGAAGTAATATACTAGGGCAAATGAATTAAAGAGATCTCAAATGTGTTTTACCTGAATTGTGTTTAAATCGTTTGGGTACGTGAAGGTTGGCGTGACCTACTTAAAGTCATTTATAGTCTTACCTGTATAATCCACGCCATTGTTAATTCACAGCCTGGCACATGCTCCTGTGTTATGAAAATTGCAATAAATTTCATAACGTGGTTTTTTTCTCAAACATAAATGTCACAATGGAATTTCATTCAGTAGTGTAACATTATGCACACTGTGAAGGTGACTTAACTTACATTTAGATACGCCCAAAATACACACGCATACACTACACGCATGCATCTTGCACACAGGGGAGGCCGTCCTTAAATGACCTTAGCTGTTAATAGGACGTTAAACAAAATCAAACAAACAAACAAACAAACAAAAATACGCCCAACAGAGTTAAATACGGTAAATGTTACTTATGTGTGAAGTAAACCGGTACTGCGTAAAATATATTAAAAGTTTTGAAGAATTTTAATACATATCCTTTTTACATCATTCCTAGTTAGTCACGTAAGAAGCACGTGTATAACCTACGATATAGAAGTACACAGAAATATTATACAGTATATTTGCACTACTATTGGCACTATTTTGAAAATTTTAAAGTTACGCAGTTTTGAAGGTACACTATTAAACGTGACTATTCACCGCCTCTGCTCTTTAATTATCCCGTTTTGTTTCTTTTGTAAGCTTACATTTGGCTTTCCTCCGATTAAAGTTGACAATGATCTTGACGTGATGACCAAAGCTAACCTCATGTTTTGGATTGATTCCGATTGGAACAGATGAAATACTAATTCCCTGAATAATACAGAATGTGCAAGGGTTGAGATCCTAGGTTCACCTCCGTTACAGTATTTTCTACTTATAATAGCATACTCTCGTCCATAACAACTTATACTTAGCTATCAGTATTTCTATGTATATACTCATTAACAGCACCCCTGGTACTCCTGTTAAAAGGTTAGATATAGGTGATCAGCGCTAGTAACATTTTAATCGTACATTGTTTGAATGTTGCATCTCTAGATCGATATTTCATCTCCCCTTTAATACGTTAACATGGTTCATGGTGGTCGACGTCTTTGTAAGCATATTTAATTGCTTCTGTTGACGCGTCTTCATAGTCATTCACTTATTTACAGGTTACGCAGAGGACGCGTACACAACTTTATATTATATATGAGTAGCACGATGGTAAAAACTGGATTGGATGTGTGACCCAATGATTTGCGGTAATATATTTGTTACAGAGGATACTGCTTGTTATTGATCAATATGAGAGAAACGCACTAGTTGTTATAAACTAATAACATGAATGTCCTTTTATTATTTTCCGTAGATGATCTGCGACGTTTACGGTGGTTATCTGGCTGAAATCGGAGACGAGCATGAGCAACACTTCATAGCAGGTTACATCTCAAGGAAAACAAAAAGTAGGTCGGCACCGACATCACATTGAGGAAATTAACAAAATATAACATATAACTGATACAGGTGTTTTCTGTATAAAGTACGACATATTTTGTTAATGGGTACTTTCATAAATACATACAGTATTACTACACGACATGCAATATGCATTGGTATTGTTTTCAACGTATAAGACATGCCACGTTCAAGGATATCTCTTCAATAGGAAACGACATGTGATGTTCATGGGTATTTCCTCAATAGTATACGACATGTGATGTTCATGTGTATTTCTTCAATAGGAAACGACATGTGATGTTCATGTGTATTTCTTCAATATTATACAACATGTGATGGTCATGGGTATTTCTTCAATAGTATACGATATGTGATGTTCATGGGTGTTTCTTCAATAGTATACGATATGTGATGTTCATGGGTATTTCTTCAATAGTATACGACATGTGATGTTCATGGGTATTTCTTCAATAGTATACGACATGTGATGTTCATGGGTATTTCTTCAATAGTATACGACATGTGATGTTCATGGGTATTTCTTCAATAGTATACGATATGTGATGTTCATGGGTATTTCTTCAATAGTATACAACATGTGATGTTCATGGGTATTTCTTCAATAGTATACGATATGTAATGTTCATGGGTATTTCTTCAATAGTATACGATATGTGATGTTCATAGGTATTTCTTCAATAGTAAACGACATGTGATGTTCATGGGTATTTCTTCAATAGTATACAATATGTGATGTTCATGGGTATTTCTTCAATAGTATACGATATGTGATGTTCATGGGTATTTCTTCAATAGTATACAACATGTGATGTTCATGGGTATTTCTTCAATAGTATACGATATGTAATGTTCATGGGTATTTCTTCAATAGTATACGATATGTGATGTTCATAGGTATTTCTTCAATAGTAAACGACATGTGATGTTCATGGGTATTTCTTCAATAGTATACAACATGTGATGTTCATGGGTATTTCTTCAATAGTATACGATATGTGATGTTTCATTGGTATTTTCTCAATAGTATACGATATGTGATGTTCATGGGTATTTCCTCAATAGTATACGATATGTGATGTTCATGGGTATTTCCTCAATAGTATACGACATGTGATGTTCATGGGTATTTCCTCAATAGTATACGATATGTAATGTTCATGGGTATTTCCTCAATAGTATACGATATGTGATGTTCATGGGTATTTCCTCAATAGTATACGATATGTGATGTTCATGGGTATTTCCTCAATAGTATACGATATGTGATGTTTCATGGGTATTTCTTCAATAGTATACGATATGTGATGTTCATGGGTATTTCTTTAATAGTATACGACATGTGATGTTTTGGGGTATTTCTTCATTAGTATACGACAAGTATGTTCAATGCGACTTTGTTTAAAGCTTGTGTTACTTCCTTTCCTTGGTACAAATATTCCTTAACGAGTTATACACTTACGGTTACAATATTTATCAATATAAATTCTGTTACGGCACATTTGTATACAACAGCTGATTCACAGGGTTTGGTGAACATTGATCTTTCCTTTACGACATAAGCAGTAATTAATATTCTGATTATGGGGTGACATTCCTGTCGTCCACCCGCCGTCTGATGATACTACACTGTCACTGCTACCTTTTATTACAACCGGAAGTTATTCATGTAATTGCAAGATGATCTAAATAACGAAATGTTCACGGGTCGTATCTGTGAGATCACTTGTAATGTAATCGGCTCTGTTCTACATTCCTGTATTATGTATCAGTGTAAAGGTTAATAGGTCGTAGTCTCATTTACTTCTCTTTATTGAACAAACACAGTATCCTACTGTCATGCACATATATTTTACCAACTATTCCATAATTCCATAAAAACAAAGGCAGAGGCATATATTTTTGCCTTTAACGACCAGGTGTGAAAAATTATATTTCAGCTAAAGCGTCGTATGAAGAAACACTTTATATAAATAGCTGATTGATATCACCGACTGCGTAAACTGAGGCAGGTTCTAGAAAGATTGACATGCAAAAAAGACATAAGTTATCAATTAAGTTTGCCTGCTTCTATTGCTTGTGTTAGTGTACCGCACATAATGCTGTATCTCCGTATCGTTTTCGATCAGTCTGAAGAGATAGCGTAAATGGACTCGTTACAGAAGCCGCGGGTCTTTTGAAAATGAGCCAAAATCGTTTAACATTTGACACTTGCATAACTAGTCAATTTTAGGATTTGCACATAGATGTTTCTCAATGACAAATTTTATTTATTTATTTCCATTTTTCCATGAACAGTACAAATTAAATACCATGTCTGATAATATTTAATCTCAGTTTTATGTAAGTTAAGGCCACAGTCCCTCTATATTAAACCATTATTCAATTTTGGCTTATTAAGGACGATTTTAATTCCCGACGTCTGGGTCAATAGATACTCTGACTTGTCCTTGAGACTCAGCTCAGATCCAGTATTTTAAAAAGAATGGAGCCCAGAGTCTGAAGCGATAAGGTAGCCATTTCAGATTTGTAGAATTAAGCGACATTTTGGTATGAATCGGACTGATCCGGGTCACTTGATCAATCCTCATATACCTAACACTGCCACTGTAAGGTATTGAGACATTTTGGTACGAGTCGGACTGATCCGGGTCACCTGATCAATCCTCATATACCTAACACTGCCACTGTAAGGTAATGAGACATTTTGGTACGAGTCGGACTGATTCAGGTCACCTGATCAATCCTCATATACCTAACGCTGTCACTGTTAGGTAATGAGACATTTTGGTACGAGTCGGACTGATTCGGGTCACCTGATCAATCCTCATATACCTAACACTGCCACTGTAAGGTGATGAGACATTTTGGTACGAGTCGGACTGATCCTGGTCACCTGATCAATCCTCATATACTGTAAGGTAATGATACATCATACTTATACAGAGGCACTTCATCATGTCTGTTCAATAACGTCTATCATTATACATGCTAGTTAACGTCATTTATTGATGTACAGGTAAAAGTTACGCTGTATTATAGCTTTACTATACACTTATACAATGTACGACCAGAATATACAGTAGAATTAAACCCCTAAGCCATTTTGCACAACACTAAATATCTTAACCAGCCTGTGAACATACAGTATACTGGAGACTTCTGTCAGATCTACGTGTATACTGGAGACTTCTGTCAGATCTACGTGTATACTGGAGATTTATGTCAGATCTACGTGTATACTGGAGATTTATGTCAGATCTACATGTATACTGCAGACTTCTGTCAGATCTACGTGTATACTGGAGACTTCTGTCAGATCTACGTGTATACTGAATGTCTCTATCAGTATGTATAGTGTCACTGAATGTCTCTATTAAAATGTGCAGTTATTTTAAATGTCGCTACCATTGAGTAGAGTAGTGCTCAATAAAGTTTCATTTTCATTTTTGTGGCAATATCCTTCTTTATTCTTTCTATGAAGAGGTTCATTTATTAGAGTATTACTGCAACTACTATTTACAGTGTATCAATATATTGCCGGAGCACTACTGCTACGATTGTGTGACTACGCCGTCGGAAATATTTCTTATTTTATTGAAAACCTTATTTGAAATATTGCCGGTATTTTAACTACGATCATTGTGTTCATTTCCAGTATTATTTTCCTGAAATTAAAACAAATTATTTATGTAATGTAACTTTGTTTTATCATTCGATTTTGTTGGGAAAACAGCGTTTTGTTTCTCCGATAACAAAGGGCAATTTTGAGTTAAGGGAAAAGCATCATTTTTTTTTTTTTTTTCGTTTAATATATATTTATTAAGAAAAATGTAAGCAAAATACAGCATAGATATTATAGACATACTGGTGCAATTGCCACATGTATCGCAAACAAACGTATAATGGTATCGCCCATTATTCATTATTCTGCAACATATATGGCAGTGCATCGTTGCAATATCGATTAAGTTTATTGCAGTAATCAAATACTCAAAAATGAAAAAAAGTATCTAGCTTATACTGAATACCAACAACCTAAATCCTTTCACCAAACGCGTGATTTACATACGATATTTATCAGACAATCGTAAAGTATTACCTTTTTTTCATCATAACTAAAAGGTTCGTACAAGCCTGGTATTTTCTGGCTCGGAGCGTCGGACCTCCTGACAGAAGGTGAATGGATGTGGTCAAACTCGGACACGTATCTTACGTATAAAAACTTCGCACCTGGGGAACCCAACAATGCTGCTGGTGGCGAACACTGTTTGGAGTTCGATTTCTCTGGCAACTTCCAATGGAATGACAACAATTGTGAAAACCTCTACAATTTCGTCTGTGAAGTCCCGTAAGTATTGCTAGATTGTTTTGACAGTGTCTTTGATGTATTAGTGTACCGCGTGATCAGACAAGCATTTAAGAATAAGTCGAGTGCTCTCCCCTGACGGATATCGTAGTCTTGTTTTAGGTTTCTGTTGTGAGGGTGGAAATGTCTATATCAAAGGTTAGTACACTTGTATAAGGTTTCTGTCGTGAGGGTGGAAATGTCTGTTTCAAAGGTTAGTACACTTGTATCCTGTTTCTGTCCTTACATTGACATGAAACGGTGTTTAGTCATTTCAAATGTTTCTAGAAGTTTATTTTTTCCTTTCTGATTCTAAATTGGACTGACCTACCAGTTAAACAAGCATACAAGGCTATTTGTTTATTAAAGTGCAGTGTCTATCCCCGCGTTAACGTTTCTGTATGTGAATTACGTTGATTTTGTATAGTGTTTCATAAGATAATTATCATAACATTACTAAACGGAATACATAGCAGAGCAGTGACGATGTACAAATCAGCGTTGCCTTATATAGCAGCATTTTCTCTTTTATGAATTCTACATGAAATGAAATCCAAACGACTGCTTGTGGTTTGTTAGTGTATATATAAATTAGGGTGTCGCGAAAAGGTCATCACCGCTAGAGGTGGGTCGGTTTGTCTAGTGTTTCCCTGAACCCGGGGCGTGGAATTGGCAGAAGGTATGGGAAAGATCCGGGATGTGCGACACTGTTGTTAGACAGTAAGGAAAATACCCTAAACATCTAACGGAAGTTTCACTCACAGTATTCATTGACTGGCCAGCGACGGTTTTGTAAATAAAAGGAGGACGGAGCCCTATATAGGGATACCGGTAAAACAATCTCAAGTGATGGTACCTAAAATGTGACCCGTTTTAAAGAAAAAATATTAAGTTACTGGAACATCAGTTGATTTTTAATAGTGCTTAAGGTTTACTTGAACATTTAACAGACGAGGGAACCAAAAACGTTATACCATTTGAAAAGAACTGACATGATTTATGGCACTTCGCCTCATTTAAGTTTTTACACTATCTGATAATTTTTAGTCATTTATTCATTAAAATACTCATTAGATATGTTTTCGATGTTTAGAAGTGGCTGTGCAAACGGTTTGTATTAATGCACCATTGTATGTTAAGCTATTGTTTTTTTATCAACAAGCAGTGCTTGTGCAGGTTCATGTTTTCATTGAATGCTAATTTTATATACAAAACGACTCGATAAAGGGAAGAAGTTGGACACAGTTGGTTATAGTACTTTACAGCGAAATAATTTTATCAAAACATTCATAAAATAGAAATTAAAAACCGCATAAAGACTGGTATATTTTTTGTTTATGTATCTGGGCGACCTATTCTATGAACAGCTCGATCCTATTCCTATATAACCAAATCAGAATCTTAACTGCATCACATGAGTGTAATACATACAGTGTATTCTGTTTTCAGAATGAAGATATCAACCGGTGGGATTATTGGTTGAGAAAAAAGGTTTGGACTTCACAATGTATAGTTAGCCTGATTCATATTAAACAAATATACATCTGTATATCAAACTTGTATTGTTCAGTTTATTCATTTATTTGTTGACTCGATGTTATGATCCGATTTTAAACAATGATATATTATGTTTTAACCAATGCTTAAGACCTGTCAACTTTGTATCAAATCGTAGGTGACCAACAAACGTTCTTGTATTTGACAGAGGACACCATGACATGTCCAGCATGTATAAGGAGGAACCGTGTATAACTCTGATACTCGATTACTCCTTTGATTTATAGTTAGGCTCAATATGTCTCCCCTTCTCTTTGGTGTCTCCTACACAATTGTGTGGGATTTGATTATTTATTTCCTTCTATTTGGTGTCTCCTCCAGTATTGTGTGGGAGAACAACATACCTTCATTCTGTTCGGTGTCTCCTTACACTCAGTGTGGAAGATCATTATGTATTTCCTAATGTTTGGTATCTCCTCACACTCAGTGTGGAAGATCATTATGTATTTCCTACTGTTTGGTGCCTCCTCACACTCAGTGTGGAAGATCATAATGTATTTCCCACTGTTTGGTATCTCCTCACACTCAGTGTGGAAAAGCATTATGTATTTCCTACTGTTTGGTGACACAATTGTGTGGGATTTGATTATTTATTTCCTTCTATTTGATGTCTCCTCCAGTATTGTGTGGGAGAACAACATACCTTCACTCTGTTCGGTGTCTCCTTACACTCAGTGTGGAAGATCATTATGTATTTCCTGCTGTTTGGTGTCTCCTAACGCTCAGTGTGGAGGATCATTATGAATTTCCTACTGTTTGGTGTCTCCTCACGCTCAGTGTGGAAGATCATTATGTATTTCCTACTGTTTGGTGTCTCCTAACTCTCAGTGTGGAAGATCATTATGTATTTCCTAATGTTTAGTATCTCCTCACACTCAGTGTGGAAGATCATAATTTATTTCCTACTGTTTGGTGTCTCCTAACTCTCAGTGTGGAAGATCATTATGTATTTCCTACTGTATGGTGTCTCCTAACGCTCAGTGTGGAAGATCATTATGTCTTTCCTACTGTTTGGTGTCTCCTAACGCTCAGTGTGAAAGATCATTATATATTTCCTACTGTTTGGTGTCTCCTCACACGCAGTGTGGAAGACCATAATGTATTTCCTACTGTTTGGTATCTCCTCACGCTCAGTGTGGAAGATCATTATGTATTTCTTACTGTTTGGTGTCTCCTAACGCTCAGTGTGAAAGATCATTATATATTTCCTACTGTTTGGTGTCTCCTCACACGCAGTGTGGAAGATCATAATGTATTTCCTACTGTCTGGTATCTCCTCACGCTCAGTGTGGAAGATCATTATGTATTTCCTACTGTTTGGTATCTCCTCACACTCAGTGTGGAAGATCATAATTTATTTCCTACTGTTTGGTGTCTCCTAACTCTCAGTGTGGAAGATCATTATGTATTTCCTACTGTTGGGTGTCTCCTAACGCTCAGTGTGAAAGATCATTATGTAGTTCCTACTGTTTGGTGTCTCCTCACACTCAGCGTGGAAGATCATAATGTATTTCCTACTGTTTGGTATCTCCTAACGCTCAGTGTGGAAGATCATTATGTCTTTCCTACTGTTTGGTGTCTCCTAACGCTCAGTATGAAAGATCATTATGTATTTCCTACTGTTTGGTGCCTCCTCACACTCAGTGTGGAAGATCATAATGTATTTCCTTCTGTTTGGTGTCTCCTCACACGCAGTGTGGAAGATCATTATGTATTTCCTACTGGTTGGTGTCTCCTCACACTCAGTGTGGAAGATCATATGTATTTCCTACTGTTTGGTGTCTCCTCACGCTCAGTGTGGAAGAGCATTATGTATTTCCTACTGTTTGGTGTCCCCTAACGCTCAGTGTGAAAGATCATTATGTATTTCCTTCTGTTTGGTGTCTCCTCTCACTCAGTGTGGAAGATCATAATGTATTTCCCACTGTTTGGTATCTCCTCACACTCAGTGTGGAAGATCATAATTTATTTCCTACTGTTTGGTGTCTCCTAACTCTCAGTGTGGAAGATCACTATGTATTTCCTACTGTTTGGTGTCTCCTCACGCTCAGTGTGGAAGATCATTATGTATTTCCTAATGTTTGGTATCTCCTCACACTCAGTGTGGAATAGCATTATGTATTTCCTACTGTTTGGTGTCTCCTAACGCTCAGTGTGAAAGATCATTATGTATTTCCTACTGTTTGGTGTCTCCTCACACGCAGTGTGGAAGATCATAATGTATTTCCTACTGTTTGGTATCTCCTCACGCTCAGTGTGGAAGATCATTATGTATATCCTACTGTTTGGTGTCTCCTCACACTCGCTGTGGAAGATCATTATGTATTTCCTACTGTTTGGTGTCTCCTCACACTCGCTGTGGAAGATCATTATGTATTTCCTACTGTTTGGTGTCTCCTCACACTCAGTGTGGAAGATCATTATGTATTTCCTCATGTTTGGTATCTCCTCCATCGTTGTGTTAGAGTGCAATATGTATATCCCTCTGTTTTATGTCTCTATGAAATATAATTTTAGAATTTCTTTTGAGTTGAGATGTTCTTGTATGGATGTGTTGACATATTTTTGAAAAACATTTCGATCTATCGTTACTAAGTATAAATTTACAATATGTGCATTGCAACTTGTTATATTTTATCAGAGTGATCGGAGGGTGTGATGGAGATGAACCAGTGTTTATTCCGTTGTTACGTCGAGGATGCATCACAAAAAGAGCTGAATCTGCCACTATTTGAGCTTAACTGATTACAAGTAATTAACAAGGTTAGGTGTACATACATTTAAGATACTGTGTTAATTTGGCCTAATTGGAAAAAAGGCAAAAACAAATAGGTGTGTAGTGATAACTGTCGGGTGTGACTCGATCAGTATCTTCAAATTATCAGAAAAACAATTATTGATAGAAACATGGCCGAAACAAAAAAAATCACTCGAAAAAAACGTGTGTGGTTTCTTTTTCCCGATGAATTATCGTAACAATCTTGCTATCTGAACAAGTTGATAAAACGAACGCCTGCAGAAAACACTCACCCAAAGTGTGTGTTATCTTGGTCAGTAGGATAAGGATGGCTATGGTCTTACTACAACTGTGAACACACTATCTTTACCCAGCTAGGACCGTGATTGGTGGAGGGGGTGGCAGAGAAGGTGCCTGTAACTCCTGTAGCCATTAACCCTTTCATCAGGTCAGATATAGTTTGACATTCAAGATACATAATGATAGATTAATGGAGGAGCGTTGAGAAAACATCTTTCTCTTAATCCAATAAAGGTCATGAATGCCGATATTATGCGATTCCTTCTTCATCAACTTTTTTAAGTGGCTGTTTCTGTAGATAACGGTGAAATTATATTTGCCTAAGATTTAAGGGAAGTCATAAATACATCAAATTTTCTAGCGAGTTAGGTTCAAAGTTACCTACAACAGGGACGTAAATACAATAATCAGTACAAAATATCATCCCTGGCTATCTCGTTGTCGATGTGTTAGGTTTACCTTTGGATATGATAAACCTTATGTTTTGAGAATAAAATGAATCTGAATCTATACAGGAATTGACCGCCAACCTCCGCAGCAATTCGGATTTACTGATGTCATCAGTAATTTTGCTGAGATATGTACATCAATCTGTTGCCAACTCTCGCAATTAGTGTATCTTCATTACATGGTTATTGTGTTTAATCAGAAGATATGGTACAAAAATAACAATTACGTGACATACCAGAAAGTCATATACAGTATATATAAATATAATCCTTATTAGTAAATCAACCGTTATGTTACAGGTTCTATTTCCGACATTGGACTTGTACTTCTTGTTTTTATAACTTTATTACACGAGACGATGCTGACCTCAGAAACACCACAACAAGGAAACCAACTTATACAAAACAAAATTCGCCTCAGTGTTACATTGTGTGTAATTGTGTGTAGCATAACCACACCAATCATAGGAACAAATGGTAGGGTATACAGACATACGGTCCTAAGGCTGGTATGCTGTTATACTATTCATATCAATACTTACAGGAATTTAATGTCGTTGATACTTGGCGGTGTTCTGCAAATATTACTCGCTAATATGTTCTGGTCTATTTATCAAATTGAAATTGTTATGCCCCCGCCATAAAATGGGGGGCATATAGAGTTGCCATGTCCATCCCTCCGCGCCGCGTCGCGTTCCGTCCAATCCATGAGCTGGGGCATTTATGTCTTACAGACATTTTCTAGTTTTATTACTTAAGGCCTTACGGCCCATAAGTTCACATACATAATACAATTATTAAAATTAGCATGGCATATAGGAACTTTGCAACATACATGTACTAACCACGACATTACACGGCTATGCATTAGTTCAATGATTTGCTATGATCTCCGAATTCTTTTTCTGGTTTTGAATGTTCCTGAATTGTTGAATTAAAAAGTATCTTCTGTCACTTTGACTAGTTGAGAGGTTGGTTTGAAGATTAGCGCTCAACAACTTTTGTGTTACTCCACTACGTATGTTCATGAACGATAACAAATCATAATTGGTGCGTACATCGTACAAGTGATATGCTATGATAACACTCAGAACGAAAAACACGAAAAACGCGGTATTTAAGTAAGTGTATAGTAAAAAACTTACATTGTGCTGCAAGTATTACTGTGGATTTGCATACTAATTAGCAAACAAAACCCATGCAGCTTGAATTGTCGTTTGTAAAACAAAGATATCGACCCCTCAACAAAGCCACAAAATCTGTTACTGAAAGCAGTTTACTACCCATAACCGTTGTTTATAATGTTTATCTAACTCTGTTCGGGTTTTTTTCATTTTTTAATAGGAACTTCTCGCTAGAATTGTGTTTTTTTCTTTTTAAAATGTGAAAATAGCCAACTTGTGTTAGGTAAGCATGAACAACAACCACCTACTCGTTGTGGAACCTCTGTATACGTAGCTCCTTGAGTTTGATTCTTCAGTATTAACAATCATGTGGACGTGCACGAGATG